TGCAATTGTACCGATTTTTAGCAATTCCTCCTATCTAATTCTCTTCTTTTTTTATCATTTACCATTAATATAAATTTCTAATGTTGTTAGTGATAATAGTACATCATATGAAATGAGCAAGAAAAGAAACTCATAAAACGTTATCGGATTTCTTCCTCTTTTCTTTTGCTGAACCCCTTTTTTTATAACAAAAAGTCTTTATGACTCGATTTGACGTCTAATAATTATTGTCATTTATTATCGAACCCTTTGTACCAGACGGTCGAAAGAAGGATCGAGTTTAGCTAAAAAAAGAGAAAGAAACGAGAGAGAAGACACGCATATAATTAGTGTATATATGTATGTGTCCGAGTTTGCGTGTGTTTCTGCCTGCGTATGGATTTATACATAATATAAATAAACAAAATGAAAATGATAAAAAAAAAAGAAATTTTACAATATTGTCGCATTTACATGCGCGAATGATCGACTTTTCGTGTCGAGAAAAAGAGAGCGAAGAGAAAAATTGTTCAGCGCATTGAGATTTTTTAATATAAAAACAAACGATAATGAGAATGTACGAGAGAAAAGTAAAGCGATGAAGAAGAAAAAATTAAATGAGAAAAGAAATAAGAAAGATAAAACCTTAAGATGAAAGTCCACAAAAGAAGCATACAATTGAAATATTTAAATTAACATTGTTGTACACAGTGATATAATTATAATATAAGTATATAAATAAAAATCTATTAGAAAATACCCGACCGATCTTTGTTTCTTGAATCCGTCAACACACATTATTTATAAGACATCCTTTTTTTTTCGATCACATGGCAAAAATGGTATCCTCTTACATTGGCAGTTCACTGGCACACCGACCGTAACATGTCGACGTTGGAGTTGTCTGTGCGTGCGCGCGTGTGTTTTTTGTTAGTAGCATGTATGACGATTATTTCAGGAGGCGCGGGCACAAGACCGCCTAGAAAAAAAGTGAAAAAGCAATTGGGTGCTCCTGTTAGCGCCACCGCTACCACTGCACCTGCGGCGACCACGACAACCGTCGCTCCTACCACGGCTCCGGCGGTTGTTCCTCCTGCGGTAAGCATCATTTAGATTCGATGATATATTTATTTGAAACGATTGTTGCTTCATTTTCCCGCAATTTTTTATAAAGGGGAGGTGGTAGCCCATATAAAATGCATAGGGTTATCAACGTGCTTTGAATATTACATTATTCTCATACAGTTTTGAACTTATTGTAAAGAGAATGGCGGATGTCTGAAATATTTACAAAAAATTCAAAATTCAAAAAAAAGGAATGTAATTTTCGATGATAAGTTAGGTTACGTTCCTGTACTCTGGCTACTACATCCTCTTGATTCTCTATTCTTTAAAAATAATTACTTTTTAGTCCAAAAAAAAATTAATTTTATAAAAAATAATCCTTTGTGCTCGTGTATGCAGGCATCGAACTTAAACCATACCGGAAGTCTATTAATAAATAGTCAAACGTCAGCGAATTCCACGGCTTCAACCGCAGCATCGGCAACGAAACCAGCAGTCACGCAACCTAGCAATAATCCAACCGAACAAGGTATAAAAAATGTCTTTGCTTGATACGAAAATGGATAAGATTGATGATTTTTTTCTTCTAAAAACTAATAGCCATGACTAATTGTTGCATTGGATCTGAAGCTCACCTATTACTGTTTTCTGTTGCGAATGTCAAATTTGTTTTCTTTCCAAGACTACATCTAATTTGTTGCTAATATCCTTCAACAGAGTGATTAAGCGAACCAAGCTTTAAGACTCTCATTGGAAACTTGCATGAAGTTGTTTAGATTGCGAAAAGAAAGATCGTGTACCTCAGATTATTATTTGGCTAGTCAAGTTTTTACTCGAGATTTTTTATAAGCTTGCAAGTTTTCAAAATGTTTTACATTCCCGTGTGGTTCGTCGACAGACTTCTTAGCGTTATAATATTTTACTTTCATTACGACGTAAAACTGTTGTTTTGAAACTTTCTTCGTGGTCTCTGATTTTATATCGATCGTTTTTTCTTTAAATTATTAGCAAGCTTTTTAATGAGTAGTTATATAAGACCTGTTATAATATATACAACGTTAGCTGAATTGACTTTATCTATATAATTATTATGTGAAAATCAAAATATTATTTGAAATAATTGATATTATTTTAGCTGTTTCTTGGAAAAACTAGTTAATTTGACTAAAGACTTAGATCTTTTTCAATGTTGCAAAAAAATAGCTTTATTTACGTTATCATATCAGTAAACTTGTAAAATGGATATTTTCTTCAAGAACGAATGTTTGTAATTTACAATAACTTAGTGTACTGTTTAAAGAAATAAATAAATCTTTAAATATATAAAATATATAAGACAAACTTTTTTTAAATTATTAAGATCTTAGTCAAAGTAACCTTTTTTCAGTTTCATGGTAAATATTACTTTTTAGTTTCGTTATTTAGTCCCCCGTTCAGTACACTATTTTATATGGAATTTAATATTTCTCAAAAAAAGTCAGACACTTGGACTTTATCACAAAACATATACATAAATTTCTCTACTTTCGAAAATTTGTAAAATAGTGTATTGTTATATCGATATTCAGATACCTTCAAATTTCTCACTTTAGGGATAGCATAGTAGAATACATTTCACTGACAGTACACGCTTTTCATTTCGCACTCACACAAATCCAATCAGCAACTATCATCGCTTTAGACACAAAAATTAGAAAATAAACTCAAGTGGACCCCGTCCAATATTGATCGGTGAAAATTCTGAATTTTCTTCGTTGGCTTGTAAAAACAATTGTAAGGAAAATATTGTCATGAAATTTTTTTTCTCTTAATGTATTTGCGTGAGTTCTTTTAGTGGTAAATTCAACAATTTCATATGTACGCCCCGGAATGTCACTGTTAACGTAACTATTTATTGAAAATATTCAGCGCCATGAACGAAAATCATGTTTAAGGAATGAATTCTATTAATTCCATTATGATCTATACTTTTAAGATGAGTGGAGCACTTTTTCAATAAAATAATGTTTTCGTGTTTAAAGAGTAATTTTTCGGTAAATTATATAACAATTTTTAAATTTGTTTAATCCAAAACACAATTTAAAAAGACTACTTTTAAACAATGAAATATTATGTTATTAAAAAGTGCTTTATTCATCATAAATCGAGATTCTAATAAATAAAATGAGTCCGTAAGAAAAGTAAGAAAAAAATTCATTCACTTGACGCTCTGGATCGTGCATGGCGCTTCATTTTCTCAATAAATAGTGTTATGTTAATAGTCACTTTGTGAGGTCTATATTTGAAATATTGGATCTTGCAACTAGGTACATTGAAGCTTGCTTCCAGTACTTTAAGATAAAAAAATGTCATGACCACGTATTTATTGAAATGGTTTTTACAAGCCAACAAAGAACTTATCAATTTTACTGTTTATTATTGTATGGGTCGCCCTTAATTTTTGTCAAAGTTGAATCGATTCAAACCTGAAATTAAGCTTGTGTACAAATACTTATGTCTTATGTATACGAATATTCAATTTCAGTAATATAATAAAAGTTTTAAAATAAAAATGGTACATTGAACTTTGACAAAAAAAAAAAAAAAAAAAAAATAACAAAACTTTGGAGAAAAGAAAACAAAAATATAACACAAAACCCCCCACCCGTGAAAAACAGTGCTGACCGGAGTAGGCTCAACGACGACAGCTCCCAGTAGCCAAGCTACAGCAGGAGCAATCAATCAACAGCCACTTCCACTGACAGCAGCAAGTCCAGCAGCGGCGTCGGTAGCAGTATCCACTGTATCATCGTTAGTAATGCCAACGCCCCCGGTAGCAAGTCACAGTTCAATGCCGGCACAGCCCTCGCGACCGAGTTCATTGGCGACGGCGGTGCCCGCGAAAAAGACGCCGATAATACCGCCCACGATAGCCTCGGCAGCACCCACACCAGTCGCACCAGCGGTCGCGGCCACACAGTCGATTCCCACGACCACAGCGACGACGATAGCCAGTGTGCCACCAGCGCCGGTCACCTCACCCCTCGTTGCCCCGCAGCCACCGGTCAGTTCCTTTTCCAGTGCCAGTGCTCCCATCAGCCAACATGACTCCATCGCACAGGATCTCATGCAGGCCAACTTCAATGCTATAGGTATAGAGCTCTATCTATCACTCACTCTATGATGCTCATGCGTTCTGCATGCCGTCGGACGTTGTTCCATCTCAGCTGTGTATCATCGCTGATGGATTGAGCACCATTCGTCGCAGTTACTTTACCGACTCTCACATTTTCTTCGTATCTCGTCGACAACTGCCGTTTTATCGCAGTCACTTGCGTTGTTGCACGTCCAAGATAGAACATGTTTATTGCTTTGATAACAAATAGTCCCGTTATTCCGCGAGGTTCGGTACAATTCCGCGCCACGGTCATTTCCAGTCGGTAAAGTGAGTACTTTGGTAATCTTCCGGTTTTGCCGATGACTACAAAAATCGACCAATTCGTTTTTACTGCGTCTACATTCTTTTTTGCTTGTGTGCACACATTTTTTTTTATCGCTTATGATTGTTGACCGATTCTCTCATGGTTGTCGTTGAATCTGCGTTTCCTTTTTTTCTCAAATCAAAGAGCAATATTGAAAATGTCTTTGCACGAACCAGGTAACGTTCAGAATTATTTTTTAAGTAGTTTTTTTTTTATTACGAAGCTTATTCTAATATTATGCTATTTATAAAAAAGATATGTTTCTAATTAAAACAAAAACAACAGTTTACTTAATGTTTGACTAACAAATTTTTCCCTATAATTAATATTGTCCCGTTTTTAGTGTACTAACTTTACCATTGCATTATTGACCGATCTGTTCACTTTCGATCAATGGTGACTATGACAACAAAATTTTAACTTTTCGAACATTTATTGACTTTGGGGAATATAATTTCAATTTACTGTTGATGATTGAGAATTTGCAAACGCCTATTCTAAATAATCAAAAACGTTAATTAATCTCTAACTTGGTACAATAGATGAATACTAGCGTCAACGGAAAATCGGAAGATTGTATGTAAATGTATGTTCGGTTTCATTATTTCTTTCTTTATCGTTTCTTTTCGAAGCGCAGACCTTCAACGACGATTCCATGGTCATAATTTGTATTTTGTAAATAATTATAAAGTGCAATGACACATGTAAGCAGACACGGGCAAATACGGGTTACTGGTTAGTTATAATTCAGGTGGAATTTCACGAACAAATGTTTATTTGATGAACTCTTGGAAATAGATAATTAATAATAGATAATGTTAATTGGTTAACATTGACGCAAAAAAGTGGTTTGGCATAAAATAATCTAAAGACATTTGAAATGAATAAGTATTTGGCTAACGAAAATGTAAATATATACGGGTGCTACCTGTCATTAATTAACTGTAGGAAGAATCAAGAAATCATATTCATACCCGCAAATGCTAGAATGTAGTGTTACAGAAACAAAAAATATAAAGTCTTTCATCTCTCCGCACGTTCCATCATGACACTCACTAGAGCCGCACCCCGTACATATTTTGCCCATATCTGCTAACACACACTTGTACACAAAGCCAAAAAAGAAATCCCACATTGACACACTTATCCACAACAGAAAAATCTAACTCTCTCTATCTCTCTTCCTCCTGCGACTTGGCAACCTTGTAGTGTCTGCGCCAATATCGCAAAGTGCCCTGGAACAATCGCTTGTCTCGTCAATGATGAACACCAAAATACCAGCATCTACCAACAATATGAATTTGTTGTCTCAAGACGTGAAAAACATGATGGGCGGTCTTGGGCTTGGCAATCTCAACATGAACTTCCAGCAAAGCCTTTCGCACATGGCCATGGCGAATCAACTTGATAGTATTATCAACGTCTCTTCACCACTCAATATTCAAAACAGCCATATGATCACGACGATGGGTCATCATCAGCAGCAGCCTCAACAACATTCGAATGGCTTCTCGAATATGAAAAGGGACTCGCCACCGAATATGTTGAACAACAATGGCATTCCTGGTCTGGGCATGAATCTTAATATGGGCATGGCATCAATATTCGATCCACATCCTATGGTTATGCCTATGAATTTGCCACCGCAGCTGTCCATGAAGAAGGATGACAAAATGGCTATGGCCCAACAACAGATGCCACAGAAGATGGATGGTAGGTGACCCAAAAATAAGAGAGAGAAAAAGCAGGATATCTCATTCTTAACTGTTGTGGCTCTTTATTTATTTATTTTTTTTTTAATTTTAATTGTTTATTTTCCGCTTTTTGCTTTGCTTTAGCTCCTTCGCTTCATTCTCCGTTCACTCGCCTTATTCGATTTTTTTATATTCAAATATTTATCCTACGTCTTTTGTGTTATTTTTTAAATTATCCTTCGTCCTTAACGTTCAGTCTCTGTGCATGTTCTTTTTTTTGTAATTAATATTATGCTTTACCCTCATTTGTTCACTTGGCACCTGCACTCGTTCACATGTGAAAAAAATTGGTAAATTAATCAACAACGACAACAATCATCACGCTGTACTAACGTCGTCTACTAATGAATTCATCTTACATTGTTGCTCTAGCCGGAGCTATTTTTGCAGAAATGGGTGTTCTTGGGCTATCGCAAATGACCAACCACTCGAATGCTCAAATAATGCCCGAGAAGAAGATGACGCCGCCTGATTCAAAGAATCCAACTGCCAACTTCGCATCGGCTTTTAAAAATAAGGTATTTGAGAAGAAAAAACAACGGACTAGCAGGTTGAATTTCACAATTGTACAATGCACGAATTGATTTGTTTGTTTAGACCGTGGAGCAAAATGTTAAAAATGCATCATCGTGGTCTTCTTTAGCCCAAGCTTCAAGTCCACAGTCAGCTGCAGGTACGAGTGCAAAGAACGCAACGCGGGACACGTTCCAAGCATTCAAGAAGCAAGCCAAGGAAAAGCAAGATAGGGTAAGTAATTCTCCTTGGAAGTTTTGTCTACTGATACTTCAATAATTAATGAGATTGCTTAATCTTAAGCGCCATCGAAAATTTTTACAAAATAATTGTCATTTTTTAGCAACGAGCGTTGGCAGAGCAACAAGAAATGCGTCGCCAGCAGAAGGAGCAAGCAGAACGCGAACGACTGCGTCAGGAGAACGAGCGTCGCCGCGAGAAAGAAGAAGATCACGCGATGGATAAGTCACGCAAGACGTCACCGACCTCCTCGGCGTCACCGGTCACGCATCAGCATTCGCAACAGTCAAGCGCAAGGCCGGAAGCGATGCAAAAGACTGCAGCCGACGTCGCGGAGACAGATAGTAGTAGTCCAAGCCAATCGGCTGGTGCCGACAAGGCTGCTGCTGAGAGGGAAAGACAGAGGCTTAGGGAACAGGAAAGACGTCGACGTGAGGCGGTAAGTTCCCCGATTCTTTTACTTCGCTGACTTTTTTTATTTCTTTATCTTTCAATACTTTTGTGTTGGCTTTAGACGGATTGTTGCTCTGTTTTACTAGGATTTCAAAGCTTATGATTTTCGATAGTTTTTTAATCTGGTAAAATGAAAGGAGATGCAATATTCAGTTGTCAGTATTGTTATTTTTGCAAATAATTGGAGACAAACGATGATTTTTAATTAATCGTCGCTAAGTTTTTATTGAAAGTACTCGCTGATTACCAAGTAACAATTTGCATCTCCTCAGCAATTTTTTTTCCTGGACATAAGTTTCAATGTTTTTCAGATCATTATTTGCAATAAATTTGTTTTTATCATTGAATTTTGTAACGATGAATTATCCGGTATGGCGCTTTTTGTACTATATATATTTTTATTTTCAAACTAATGTCCAAAATTATATGCAGCTGATATAAAAATAGTAATATTGAAAAATTTGATTTGATGAAAATATGTTAAATATGTATTCGATAATTTATATACAAAATATATAACTGCACGCTCTTCTTAAAAATATTCAAAATTGTATGATGAAACTGTTGATTGGGCTTGAAATATTTAAAAAAAGAAATTTTCATCAAATTAAATGTTAATCCCATGATACAGTATATCAAGTATCTTTGTCAAAAAACCACCAGCGTAAAACAGTAAAAGTCCGTAAAAAGCCTAGATACTTAAAAGTCACCCCTTGAAGTAGTTAGAGCAAGATCGTGTGGAAACTCTCCAGTAGCCACATAAATCTGCTAGGCAGTTGTTTTTGTCCTAAACTATATATAAACTATATATATATATGTATATATGTGTGTATATATATATATATATATATTTCTGCCTCGAAGGCTCTTTCTACCCCGGTACACATTACACACATACACAAAAAAATCTGTCGAAAATTCGGGGTCCGCCATAGAATCGTAGTATTTATCGTTTCAGATGGCTGGTCAAATCGACATGAATATGCAAAGCGACCTGATGGCCGCCTTCGAGGAGTCGCTGTAATGTGAGACAAGGCGACGAGTGGAGCAAGGATTATTACGGAAGAATAAATAAAACTGTGCGTGTGTGTGCTAAACGATTACGAAAAAGAAAATGTGTACAGACTAATATTTTCGACGCGCAGCGCGTGTGCGAGATACTCACACACACACACTCACACACAATTATGCCTCTGACTCCAATCTCGATATTTATATTCGCACTCGAATATAATATATGCAACAATACACGGACACACTGCCGAGGCACATCTATTATTTCTTCTTGTTTCTCTGCTATGAGAATTCCTGTCCAGAAAAGTGACCAACCAATTATTCTGTGTTTCTGCGTGTGCAGCCGTGTGAAGCCGTGTGAAAAGCCTCATTGCTATATATACTTACACTGACTACATTGTAATGATTGTTTTTCGACGTTTTTCCGGTTTTCATAAGTTTGTACTTTATGTAAATTTGAAGACAGAGTATGTGTGAGAGAGCGAGAGATATATTTCAAGTGCGTGAATTTTTTTGTTTCTTTTCGCGAGAAAACGATTAAAAAGAAGCAAGTGACAAAATAAACAATTGTAGAAATAAATATTATAACAGAAAAATACCAATGTGTTTTTGTGCGTTAGTCGAGCGAGAGTCTATACGTTTGAGAGTACCAAGAATGCGTGTGTGAATAAGAATTGATGTAAGGCGTTTATTAATGGAGGCGAAAATAAGATAAAAAACGTTCTGTACATTTAGTTAAGTTTTATATTTTTCCACATTTCAGTCATTGATCGTTGTTAGGATTATTATAGCTAGTTTTTTCTGCCAATAACTAAAGGAATAATTACAAATCGAGTAAACTTCGTGCTGTTGCTTCTCGAACGCAGACTGAAGTAAATGGAAAAAATAATAACAATTACATAATGCGATATGTCTCGCAAAACGTGAGATATAGTTGAATAGATAAAAAATCATGATAAATTCATCGATGAATAACGCATCAAAAATGATATTGTCATTGTCAGAAATAAAAGGTGAACTTTTGTGTGAAGAGGGACGTAAGGCTGTAAAACGTTTCAATAGTACGGGATATGGATGCTCGTGGCGCCGACTAAGCAATATCTCGCTAAAAATTAATATTTTTTCTAATTTTTTTTAGTATCGCTAATATGATATCGTTTAACTTTTTTACAAGCTTTTTCTTATCCCTATCATTTGTGAATACTTTTTTCGTTTGGATGAGTATTGCATATACGTTGGTTTTCTCGAGACGTGGAACTGTGTATGATAAAATGGAAATAGAAAAAAAAATTAATTGCTAGCTTAATAATGCTGAGTGACTAGCCCTAGATTTTTTATATAGCTTCGAAAAATCCCGTTCGAGAGAATAAGCAACAAGAGATGAAATGAAAAAATGAAAATACACAGCGTCAATTACTATGATTATAATGATATGTAATATTGAATGTGAAATAATTAAACGATCTCTCGTCCGAAATCGATAAAATTGGCTTTCCTACGCGATTGCTGTAGAATGCGATCATTAAAGACTCACCCATATTAACGACTCAACATAGCCGATTAATCGTAAGAGCCTGTACTTGATATGTATGCTTAGCGAAACGATAAATAAACATTCGATGGGAGATTTTATTAATTAGTCTCGAGATTACGTGAAATCATTCGTGCAAATACATTTGGATAAATCGACGAAAGATTCGAATCCTACAGTAATGAACGTAAGCGTTTATTTCTCTCATTAAACAAGCGAAGTACAAATGTTGCAGAGATTATATTAACAATTGAAGTGTAATATTGTAAATTTATAGCGGAATCATTGCGATAAAATCTATCTAGTTTTAATTCTTTGAAAATAAATTTGGAATTCAAATTGTTAAGGTGTTCTTTTGCGAAATTTTTTAGTCTAGAAAAATGAAAATAAACTTGTGGACGGCTTCACTAACTTTTTCAAAATTTCTTATTTTTCGTAAAAATGTAAGGTTACATTGTTTTTTTATTGTTCGCGCCTCTTTCTTTCAATCTAACATGAAAATGAATTTACACTTTTCCTTCAAAAATAATGACAGGTATAATTGAAAACTATTTTGATAAATGTAAAAAAACAGTTAATGTTGCAACAGTTTCTTATACGAATCGATTTCGTATTTATTCTTTCATCAGGAATTATATGTGTATATGTGTATATGTGTGTGTGTGTGTGTGTGTGTATATATATATATATATATATATATATATATATATATATATATATATATATATATATATATACACACATATACACATATATCTAGATGTATTATACTAAAAATAATTGATTGACTTATTGACTACTGAAAATATTGTACTAATCAGATGCTCAAGTTCAAGATAAGTTATAGGTTCATTTATGTATTAAAGAAGAATCTGGTACTTTTCAAGAATTTTCGTTTTCCATTTCTTTTTACATTATGCCATGAATATAATATCCTTTTATTTCATTTTCAATATTGTAATATTGTATATCGACTGGGTAATAGTACATTATAATACAAGTACGGAAAAGCAGGTTCTCGCATGACGTTTATGGCCAAAGTCACATTAAACGTGAATCTCTTTCCCGAACATGTATCGTACGGTATTTTTTTATACGACGTGTGCAAAGTTGGATTTTTAGTGCAGATTTTCTGCACGTTTTTGCGCACAGAGTGTCAAAAACAGCATTATGTCTGAAAAGGTATAAATACTCATTTTTAGTCATACATTATTATGTTGGTATTTGGAAGTTTTGAAAATTCAAAACAATTCTACCAATTGAATAGTTATGGAATTTTCATAAGTTCCATTTCTCATAAATAATAATTAAAAGATGGGTTGAAAGCTTGTATGTGTAAATAAACATTACTATATGGAAGGAGAAGCATTTGAAAATTTGAAGAGGCGCGTACATAAGAAACAAGAAATTAACAATTCATTTCTATGCGTATACTAACATGTAATATTTGCATAAAAAAATTATAGGTTTTTTGATATGCGTGCATTTGTATTTTAACTAAATATTGCATTCACAAAAAAGTGATTTCTAGCAACTTTGCTCATTTATGCACTTTTGTAATATTTTATTATTTGCATATATATACTTTTGTTTTCAATGAACGTAATTATGATGTGTGCTAATTGATCATTTATTTGTACAATTCTTTCGCTGATAGTTTAGTTTGGAATACTGTATCTTAGCACACTTGCAACATTGTAAAAGTATAGTAAACTCAATTATTCAGCAATGTCGGTCGATTCTTTTTCTTTTTTTCTTTCTTCATTGTAATTGTTCTTTGAAGCGTCGTGCAATTTAGATGAGAAAAATCACCCTTTAATAATAATTAAAATCGCTAAGAAATAAAATAATGAAGAGTGTGTGAAGACGTTTGTCAGATTGATGAAGAACGAACTTTCGTTTAAGGTGTCCTAGTAATTTTAAAATTGTTACTTTAAATTTGAGATTTATAACTGTATTATATAAGAATGTAGAATTTGTTATATAAAATTACCATGCATTCCATACAGAATAAAACAAATTTTATCTTAAACGTTTCCTTTTTTTACTACACTAATTAAATGTATGCTATTTGAAACGACTCTATCAAACAAATTTTACAATTTTATCCCTAAGTGATTCTTTTATGTTTTATTTCTTTTTGTTCGAGATAACAGTTGATTTTAACAAATAAATTCATAAATCGAACTTATATAAATAATCTATACATATGATTTAATTAATAAACAGAATTTATAAAATATAAGTTTTACGATCTATGATCGAATTTTTTATTTCCAAGAAGATTGTAGAATGATTATGATTTTTTTGCTACTTACAATTCAGTGCTCTTAAAAATAATTTTATTACAAAAGTAATCGAAATTCTGTGCGATTACCAAAAATATGTTTACAATACCTATCTTTATTCATTTTAATTTTCGTCTTTTTGAACGATTTTCGTTAACATATAACTTTTGAATGAAGAAAAGTAACAATTTTTTACAACACCATGTTTGACGTATAATCAGCAATAGTAAACACCGAATAAAAAACAAAAGTTATCTTCACAATCTGGGAATCGATATATTAAAGAATTTTCATTGAATAATTAAATTGTTTCATTAATCAATAAATTTGGTAATTTCAATCTTTTTGCCCTTAGATTCCAATCTTTGACTAGAATAAAATTACGATTGAAATTCACTCTGACATATATTATTGTTTAATATTAAAATAGAAGCGAAGTTTTTTCCAATAGATCGAAAAACAAATCCACGCATACATCAATACAGCTCAGGTAATAACGAACGAAATGAAACAATTCGACAAATGTATTGAAAAAATAAATTGTTATTTGAAGTAATGAGTCTTAATGGACGAGTGAGTCGTAGGAATTTTTAGACGGAGGATAATGTGTAAATTTGACATAGCTATAGATACTGTATAAAACATTTATAACATAAAAATACGACAGTTGTAACGAAGGATTAATAATCGAACGAAAAGAATTTTGCGCAGAGATTTTGAATGGTGCATATGTGTATAGCAAAAAGAAATAAATGAATGAAATTCGATATTGCGGAAAACATAGATGGAATTCTATGTATGTGATAAGGGTTAGTAATGTTTAAGGAATTAAAAAAGTAGAGTCGGACGGAGAATATTGTAGATGGTTCGAGCTAAAGAAATATAGATCTCAAGCCTAAGTTTAGACATTGTATAACGAAGTGGAAAAGAATTTATAACGAGAGTAAATTATGTACGATATTTATATCTTCGTAAAGTAACACCAAAATCTTACTCCTCGCTTGGATGAATAGAACAATTAACAGAAGAGCGAAAAAATAATTTTTTATGTCAGTTCCAACATGGGCGCACATTTTTTCTAATGGCACATGAAGCTCGTCAGACTTAAAAAAATCAATAAATATTATTAAATACGAAATTACTATTTAAAAATTCTACGTAACTAATACTGAGATGCGTTTAAATAAAAGTTGTATATAAATAACGATTCAATTTCAATGAATAAATGAAATATAAAAATAAAGATGAGATTTTGATGCTGCGGAGTGGAATGTCGACTGCTTTTCTTAATTTCTCTGATGTACTCTTCCTCATTTGCTGTGCAAGTGATTTCACTAATTCCTTTATTTACCTCTAACTTATAAATCTTTATCAATTTTAACAAGTAGATAACGTTATTTTAGATTTTAGTCAATTCTGTCGAAAACAAATATCATAAATATATTTGTTTATCACATAGATTGTAATAAAGCAATAATTTTTGTTTTACAGCATTAACTTTTTTAGCACTAGGTTTGTCTTTTTTTAATTACGATCGTATCCCATTGTGTATACCATAATAAATACTTTTACCGGAATATTTATCAAAACTACTTTTTACCCGTAATTTATTTCTTGATTATTGAATAAGTGAAGTAGACTAATATTTAAAAACAAAGAAATTTGCATGTCGGTGACAAAGCAAACAATATTAATGAAATAATAACCGGCAGTTCAAATTATGGAAGTGAAGTAGTGCGTACAGCGTAATTATTTCTGCGAATGTTTATTGTTAGGAGATAATGAAGAAACATTGTTGTTGTTGTTTAATTATTGATATAACATGTTAGAAGTATTGTAAAACCAGAAATGGAGCAATAAATTCATGTGTCTATAGTTCAATTCCTTTATTCAAGATAACTATTGATTTATAACGTAAATATGCGAATATTCATTGTCTCAATGTGAAATAAAATCTGACATTAGTTTCCACTCTGCAACTTCGAAACACTCAATTAAAAAAAAGTCAAACGTTTATTCGTCGTGGTTAAAAATATTGTATAATTAATGTCGTAAATATAACGAAAATTATATAAATTTAATGAAAGAAAAAAAAAACACGATAAATGTGAGGCAAAAAAAATTTATCGAAAACAAGAAAAAAAAAAACAGAATTTTACAAAAAAAAATGCAAATCTATAAATTTGTCAAGGTACAGTTTTTCTTTTTACATGTCGTACACTTAGGGTACGAACGCATGGCGGAGACATTGAAAGAAAAATCAATTTAAAAGAGAAAAATTACCGAATGAGTGCAAAGTACGTTGATGAATTAATTATTGAGAGAGTGAATGTAAGTATAAATAGAGATTATAAAAGATGTAAAGTATGTGAAAGGAAAATGAGCGATGACGTTGTCATTTAGCGTATATCTGAAGTTCTTTCCTGAGTTTAATTAATTCATAGCGGTGAAGAAAAAATAAAAAAGAATATTATGAAAGAAAAAAAATTGAAGATCGAGAAATATATGATGTGGAATAAACTTTGTGTATACTATTATTATAATTATGATTATAATTATAATTATTGTAACCGTAAGGCAATGCATATTATATATTATCGTATATATTATTATAATCTTCAAAAATATGCTTATTATCCTAAGATTGAATTATTATTAAATAACTACATGAAAGTAAATTTACAGCCTTCAATTTTTTCCTCCGATCCTCTTTGGAATTTTAATTAAACAAAATCATTATATCATTTTAAATTGAAAAATATGTTTTTATTTTCGTTTGGTAGTAAAATAAACTGAATAACGAATATTTTTCTTTTGCTTCACTTGTTCTGCTGTTCCTGAAACCGTTGATATTCTTTCAATCGAAGCGATTGAATCCTGATGAAACCTCCCGCATCTTCTGGTTGGAAATCACCCTTGACATCCATCGATACCATACCTTCGTTGTACAACGAAACGTCACTTTTCCTTGCCATCACACGAACTGCAAGTGTAAAATTGAAAGCAATTGTCGTCGCGAAAAAACAAAAGAAAAGACCATCGGCTGATACCGACCACTTCCTTTGTATAATCTCACGTGAACTGATCCGGTCACGTATTTCTGCGACAAGCTTATACTCTCACGTGCAAATTGACACTCGGGTGAGAACCATAAACCTAAAGCAGCAGAAGAGCAGCGTTGAAGGTTGAAAAAACCGACATTCGAGAATACGAGTTACCGTTGTAAACGCAATCAGACATCTTCTCTGCCAGGTATGATTTCAATCTCAGTACTTCACGGTCCAACAGGAATACTTCTAAATCTTTGTGTGCCTCGTGAAGTATCGTCCCTCCAGGCGATTCGTATATGCCTCGGGACTGAATTTCAATCGTTTTATACCTTTGTTAGGTGAAAAAGAAGCTCGGACATTCGAGTTACCTTGAGTCCAATATAGCGATTTTCAACAATGTCAATTCTACCAATGCCATGCTTGCCACCAACATTGTTCAAGAATTCGATGATGGACAATGGTGTTCTGTGTGCGCTTTTAATAGCGATATCTTCCACGCTAACCGGACATCCTTGTGAGAAGACGATTTCAACGTCCAGAGACTCGTCTGGCGCATCTTGTGGATTGTTCGTCATTTTGCACAAATCGACCGGTGCTGGATTCGCGGGGTTCTCCAGAACGCCGGATTCGTAACTGTACAGACAATCGCGTTAACGTACTCTAAGTATAAACGGAGCAATCGTAAAGATTCGATTTGAAACCTTATGTGCAGCAAATTAGCGTCGGTGCTCCAAGGCTTCTTCGGCGTAGCCGACACGGGAATGTTATTCTCCCGAGCGTACTCCAGCAGGTCTGGACGACCCTGAAACCTATTGAAAAATGCCGGTTCTCTCCATGGCGCCAGTATCTTCCAAAATCAAATCCAATTATACGCGTCTAATCTCACGGACGAAAGTAGAAGAAAAAGAAGAAGAAGAAGGGAAAAGTCCTACTTTCAAGGACGGCATCAGCGTGTAGCAGCTCAACTCGAATCGCACTTGGTCGTTGCCTTTACCCGTAGCTCCGTGTGAAACGATACCGGCATTCTCGTTTCTCGCTGCACTTACCAAACCTTCGCTGATGCATGGCCGACCGAGTGCGGTGCCCAACAGGTACCTGCCCTCGTACAGCAAACCCGAGCTCACTGCAGGCCAGACGTACGAGGTTACGAAACGCTCGCGTAGATCGTCGACTATGACCTTTCGGTGAAATTTTAGTGATTTTCAATCAAACAGTATGATACGCAATTTTTCAAAAAGATAACTTGTAGTTCAGTGTTTGAATAGCAATGGGCAGTCTTACGATTTTACCTTTTTGGCGCCAATTTTCAAGGCTTTCTCTCTGACCGCATCGAAATCCTCGTCTTGGCCGATATTCGCCTAAACAGAACACGCGAATCCGATAACCAACGATACGCACGCAACCGATTAAAGTTAAAATTCTACCACATAAGCGATAACATCGTAGCCCTTTGCAATAAGCCAGAGCAGGATACAAGATGTGTCCAAGCCACCACTGTACGCCAGAATCACTTTCTCCTTTCCTGCCATTGCTTCTTTGCCAAATGCTAAGCCTGTCCACGACTCCGCAAATCCACGATCATCGATGCGCGTGGGGCCGCTGATAATTACATAGTTTCAAAGCAATTTTTGATAACCTTGTGTGATCTCAGATAACTCACGTCGCCAAGTAGTAGGTGCGCTGGCTTCGGTATTCACTGGCAAGCTCAATGTTGATTGGTACTCATGATCAAGCTACTCTAAGATGGTCTCGGTGGTTATTGGTGCTCGAGCGACGAAATTATCGTGCCACCCGATACGAAAATAACAGATACTTGAGATTCAATTTGATTTCCAAACAATAATTTATTTTTTTATCGTAATGTACAGACAAATAAAAAATTGGCGCTAAAAAAGTTACAAAATCAAAAGAGAAGCATGCTATCTCCTCGTGGAAATGGATAGGTGGTATAGATAGTAGGTTGTAGCTAATGGATTGACGTACAAGACAAAGACAAAAGAAAAGATGTCAAATACGTGGACCATAGTCTGCATTACCGTGTAGAGAGTCGACGTCGGAAGGTCGTAAAACAGAGACGTTTAGTAATAAGTTAAGATTTATTACAGTGACGTGTAGACCATTCATTTTTTTTATAAGCAGAACACTTTTCTCTGGGCTACAGCTACATACGTATAATATATATTTTTTTGTTTGTTCAATAATCATATAATTTTTTTTATAAATATCGTAAACTCTATAATGATCCAGTTGCCGTACAACCGCAACGTTCGCTTTAATAACGTACTTCATTTCTTTTTACTTATTTTCTGTAATTCATGAACGATCGAATAACAGGCAAACGTCCACTTGACCAAAAAAGTGATCCCCTAGTAATTTGTTTTTTTTTTTTCTTCAAATGTCGTTACCATCGTCTACTTTTTGCTATTCTCGCCACTAAATTATTATTATTAATATTATTATTATTGTTATTATTAATATTATTATTATTTTCAAAGAGAGACTTGAGTGCTGAGAATACTAAGAATGTAGCTGAATAATTGTAAGTGTTTAAAAGTTCAAAGACTTTGACGAACTATCATTTTATTTTAACTTTCTTCGCTATGTTACTCATTCAACACGCTTCGTTACACTAACTCTCTTTCGATTGGTAATTTAATGTATCAATATGTTTCGAAATCATACATTTATGCCAATAGTTAAATTAAAATCTAAGCGCTATAATAAAATACACGATAGATTCTTCAACGATTTTTCCAATGTGTTGGAATCGAAAATTATAACGAAAAAACTTCGTGGATAAAAGTATGGTTTTAAAAACGACAATTGATACACTGAATCACCTTTACCAGACAAACGTTATGTAAGTCTTGTATGAAATTTGTTATCTTAGTTTGTCAAACTGAAGTCTTATATTTTTAATACATCATCGTCGCGTACTTTGAAGATGCAATTATACAGCTAGGAAAAGTGATGAATTCAACTGGAAAGCCGTCGCGACAGTAACGACTAGAGAAAGAGACCGAGAAAACTCTCACTCTTAACCAGGACAAAAACGTTAGGATCTTATAGCATTATATAACGTAAAATCTTTAAGGCAATTTACACGCGTACTTTCTACTTTGAAAAATCATTGGCAAATTACACTTTTAAGGATACGATTCTTTTAATAAGCTTTCTCCAGTGGTCGACATGAGTGAGATCAGGTAAATCGACCTTGATAATTAATTTATTTTCTGCATAACAAACTTAAGCAAGCATGAAATAAACTCACTGTACGTCTATGTAACAAATAATTTACAAAAATGATGTAGTTACAATGAAATCTAGTCAATACAATATTCATTCTGTTTCTGAAATATTTTGTTTGTTTTTTAATATGATATCCGTTCGATAAAATCACGGTTTTGATGTGTACTGATATATACTTTTGCTCGTCCATTGCCTCATTATAATCAAATTTCACATATTCAAAAAGTATGATATTATTATTCTATCAAATAAATAATTTTATCTTCTCTAAATATTTCAAATGTTATTTAGTGCATCAACTGAATGTATACGTGAAATTAATTGCAACTTATCACGACCTAATTTACATTTAATCAGACAATATTTAAAATCTAATGTAATTATCAACAACAAAAGCCAAGTAAAATGTACAATAAAAGGTTGTTTTTCTCTTCAGGTAATACATACAATTTAGGCATGAATAGTTACTGGAAACAAATTATCTATAATTATATATTCATGACTTCCTTTTCTTCATTATGTATTATATTAGTGTCATCAGATACAATACGTATATAATCGCCGTCGGCACTATATTTTATATATATACATATGTATGTGTGTATATGTGTGTACACATACATATATATACATACATATATACAACTATTTAATAAATTTTTTCCCCAGACACATAGAGAAAAAACTTTCCCACCTGGAATAAGGTTCTACAGTGATATTGCCATCGTGTTGAGAGTCTCGCGACTCCTTTTGCACAGGCACTTCATTACCAGGTAAACCCATTAGCGCTCGAAAAAAACACATTCTGTCGACTATCTACATATAAGTCTGTTAATTCATAACTTGCTCTCTTTCACTCTCAACTTTTTAAAGATATTCCAATGCCATTCATTTCTAATCTTTATCATTCACTTCTTTTTTCTCGTAATAGCATTTAATTGCTGCTATTTGAATTGACTCAAGTGCATTATCTTGCTAATAAATTAGCTAAAATTGATTTGGTTTACAATTTTCATTTCTTTTTTTGGTTGGCGATATATTTCCCACAGTTATTGTTGGATCTTGATCTCTTTCGTCATTTGGCTAACATTTACCACAGATCGATTTTCATATGCATGTTATGTTAGTGATGATGGAATTAAAAGATATATAATCAAGCCGATTACGCTTTTTTGTTACGATTCAAATGACGATCATCACCGATGAATCTTTGTATAAGATAATAATAGAAAAAGAAAGGATCAAGTTACACAAGAAACCAATTACAGATTGTTTTCAAATTTTTGATGGACGACTACCATCGATGATATTTATGTGGGGATGACGACGATGAATTCGGGGTTACAGTTCAAGCATAATGCAGGCTTAGCTTATTACATTGAAATGTGAGCGGGGAATGTTCAACATGTGTCGTTAATTTTTAGGAGCCATTTAAGCACCGACGTTTATGTGTAATTTTGCGAGCTCAGATATGAAGGATTTTGGTGTAATAATATGCGATGAGCCTAAAAAATTGATATAAAATACTCATTAGTCTTGTCTTCATAGTTTAAAAAGCTTTCAAATCAAATTGCATTAACATACCGATGATGACTTCCCAGTTCTTGGCGTTATTCGTAACTTCGTAGGCACAACGAATTTCTGAAAAGCAAACACCACCGACAATGAAGACAATCAAACGTGGGACGTTTTTTACAGTTTGTTGACCCTTTTCCTTGTGCCAGTGACCATAACGAACGCTATTATAATGAAAAATAATTACGTAAGAAAAATCACTTGTAAAAAATTAACAAGGAATTTGCAGAAATGAAAGTACCTCGTTGGAGCATGATAGCTAGATCCAGCAGTTCGTCCACCCAAGAATGGAAAGTGCTTTTGATCAAGTTTATTGTCCTCGATGGCATCCTCCATAATGTCTTTGATGGCAGGAGTCCAACGACTCATCTGGTAAGTTTGTTCGGTAATTCTCTCTTTTCTAGGCATGTTATAAACTTTCTTACGATTACCCTGCGAAAACAATACAATACCCACGTAAAGTATCAACATCGTTCTGTTTTTATACATCAAAAGTGAGAGCACCTACCTCGACAACGACATTCAGTCCAAGATTAGCCATGTTGACAATAGTCTGCTTGTCTTCAGGTGACATTTGAGCGTGATGAATTAGGCGATTCAAATTGTCGTCAGGTAGGCCGTTTCTACTGAGCACGTAGAGTGCAATTATACGCAGTTTGTCCGCGCTTTCGACCGTCTGATCTAAGAGGACGGGTGTGATGTTACGCATGTGGTCTTTGATCTTTTCACCTTCTGCGTCAGTACCCATTGCCAAATCCTAATATCATTTTGATAAATTAGACGTACGAATATACGCCAATGTTTTCGTATTTTTGTAATCATCGAAGTTACGAACCTGTTCAACCTTGCAAAGTTTGTCAATGTTGGCTTGATAGCGTTTCATACAATCTTCGGCGAGATGCAGATGGGTAGAGTACTTGCTGAGTTCCTTCTGATACTGGGGCATCTTTTTAATCATCTGAGACAAATCTCGCATGCTCGCTTTGTCAGTGTTGCCCGGCATACGCTTGGACTCGGTGAACTTTTTCAGATTTTTCGTTACGTTCCTGTGAAAAGAATCATTGTTTAAACATTGTTATACGTACTGTTAGCTTTATGTGTTTCTCGAACTTACTGTGATACAACGGCAATGTGCTGATGCCTCAATTCGACCCACAGGTCGTCATTTTCATCGAGCAATACTTCTTTCTCTTGTCCAGCTGAAGCCTCGTACCTTTACAGAACGAAAAAATTTGAATTAGACGTTGAAATGCAACGGTAAATTGAGCGACGGGGTATAACTTACTTGTAAACGTCATTTTCAATATCCAAAAGATCATAAGCCATAGCTTGGAGTGTAAGCTCGTGAAGCAGCGGTGAAACGCAATCAAAGCCCCGATCGAGAATCAAAAGTTGAGACCGTGCTTTTTCGGGACCTTCACCCATCGTCGGTTCATCAGCTTTATAAGCGTCCAACTTCTGCTGGACTATCTGAGCCAGTTCGGCGTTGCGATCGAAATCACTGAAAAAAAAAAAAAAAATAGAAGATAACAATGAGCAGACTGTGACTTGGAGATCTTCGCGATTTGATCATTGGAAAGAAGCTTTTTCTTTTCTTCTTACCTTCGATATCTGACCGAAGGATACTCGCCGAGTGTGGCGCACAAAGTGGCAATTTGCTCGGCAATTCTCTCCATGTTTGCGCTTCGTACACCGACCAGTGATGGATTGTAGAAGCACGCGAACGTCTCTTTGGAATCCAATGAGAAAACCTTTGCGCAATTCGTTCGGTTAGCGGATTTTTATTTGTGCTTGCACATTAGCGGAGGGTGTTGGATATACAAAAGCGAGATAATAATTAAGGAAGAAAATTAGTGCGCTGGGTAAAAGTAGAACGTAAAACTGTATAGAGCCCACTACGACAGCACAAATGCAAGCTCAAACAAGCGTGTAGATTAGAATAGCTATGCGAGGAAGCTGGTGGTTTTGTTCACAAATCATATACGGCAAGCGGAGGTTAGGAATTTCTTTACGTTCTTTCCATATAATTATTTCTAGTTTGATTGCTTGGAATTGATTAATTGATCTTGCGTCGATACTGCTACGATAACAAAAAAAAAATGAGTAAAATAAAAACAATTGCACATCTGCCCATTCAAACTGAATCAAAATTGGTTGGTAAAATAATGATAAGCTATCCATCAATTTAGGAAGATAATATGAATCGAGCAATAATAATATAATAAATCTACTGAAGATTGAAGTCATTCAGATTTTCACCTGAGACTCGTAGGGCAAGAACGCAATGTTGATCTCTTTGAGCGTTTTGATTTTCTTTGCGGAGATATGCTTGCAAATTTCATTGAACAGCTCCTCGGGGCACACTAAAGTTCAAGTGCAAGCATGAACACATATCCAATAATTGAGGCTTTTTGTTTTGTTTTTGCTGGTTAGTAAACGTGCTCTCACATCGTATCGTTAATCACACAATCCACAAAACACTGTTCATCGCTGAGCGCTGAATGCGAGATGTATCGATCTGTTTGAATCGCGTTCAACGCTCGTGTCGACAGCACAACAGTTGTTTCGAAAACTTCTGTCGCATTACGGTTAACTCTTCCGTTCGCTGTTCTCGCAAATAATGAATGCCAAATTAATTTCTTTGCGCGCTTTTGCGCGCTTTTACGAGCTTTCGTATAGTCGTACCCGTCGTGGCGATATATTCTTCTAGACAGGCTATATGTAGGCAAAGAAAAAATTTCGCTTTTACGGAAATCGACTGTAGTTTTACGAAACAACCATTGGCGAAATCGGAACAAGAATTAGTATGGAAATTCGTTTGGTCAAAAATTGTTAGTACAATATACAGAAGCCTTCCACCACAAAACACCGCTGAGAGGTAATTGTATCATCAATGCAATTCAAGAGAGTACATTCAGTTTTCAAACTGTCGTCAATCGCTGCTCGTCAAATTACCTGTTCTTCGTATGGTATAAAAGCGATGTTGATTTCTTTTAATGTTCGTAAAAAATTTTTTATTGGATGCAACAGTTCGAACAACGGGTCAGGGCACGCTGGAAATACAGAAAATCTCGTTCTAAATAATTTTCGAGAAAAAAGTAAATTTCGAAATTTCATGATCTTTCTTAAAAAAAAATAATAATAATAATGATAATAACTCTATGAAAATTAAACGTATATAATTCTCGCGTTTTGTCATATAGATGTTACAGGGAAATAGTATAGTGTTTTCATTGTAGATAGAGAGAGAGAAAGAGACAGAAACAGCAAAACATCGACAAACATCGACTTGTTGTTAATAGTATATACGTATAGGAAAAGGAACCGTTCACCATTGAAACATCGCTCACAAAAGACCGAAAAAAACTACATCGAAACGACCATCGTCGAGCGTCTTTCAAAAACAATTTACCTGCTGCTCGTACGGTATAAAAGAGGCGTTAATTTCAATGCACGTGAGTATATATTCTTTTAATTTAGAGACCATCGTTTCGAACAGCTCGTTCGGACAAGCTGAAAAATTGATTTTTCCTCTTTTTTACAAATCCTTCATTCGACAGCAAAAGCTTGTTCTTTTGCCTGTCTATCGTTTAACCAAAGTAACATCACATTCGCCTAAATATATATATATTTTATCGTTCATCCCCGGCGGTACATCAAGGAGAGGAGGTTGCCCGAGCAGAATCATACCTTCGGTGAAGTAAACATGAGCGCCCTTGTACATCGGCCGGGATGGATTGGCAAAGTCGCCGATGAGCTTGCTCACGGACATTTGGCTGGGTGTGATGAGATAGACGGCCTCCATCGAGGGCAGCGGCTCGCGTTGCTTCTGGATGTCCTCGACGAGAGTGATGCCCTGCGCGCTGATGTCGTGCATCTTGCAGCACGCCGAGACCATCCTCATCGCCAGTTGATCGACCACCATTATGCGCCATTCCGTGTTGGCGGCGCCCTTCTTCTTCTGCTTTATCACCTCGTTCATTATTTCTGCGAAATCGCACGGCAAATTATTGGCTTCGTCAGCGACGCATCCGCGACTCGCGAAGGCCTGCTCGCGCGCTCCGATTGCTCCTCGTCGTTGGCAGTCGGCGTTCCGCCGTTTTCAAGCTTACGACAAACTCATCGACGTCGCGCTCACTACAAACGCCTTGATTCGCGTCAACGCGAACGAGCAGCTGATTTTTCTCGAGATTTCCGAGGGTCAACGACAGCTTTCGATTGGGTCCGATATTTATAGGATCGCGTCGGGATGATGATGCGATCAAAGAACACATTCGTCAGAGGTATCAGCTGTGCGTAGGCAGTATAGCCTCGGGATTTTCAAGCGTGGGAGTCGAGTGGATTTCAGTGTAACATAGACATACCGCGTTATCAGTCAAATCGTTAGTCAATGTATGCGATCTCAGTGATACAGCTGTAACATTTACTTATTTTTGCTTCAATACTTTTTCCACCGGAGACGCGCAGATCGACGCGAGAAGCCATTCGCAACTTCGGAACTTTGACGTTGAGCTATAGACAATTCAATAAATATATTCTTGGCGACTTTATAGTCGGAAAATAATTCTATACTTTCCAAAAACGTACATCGTCTCTATCTTATTCGTCGTACTTATCCTACTTTCAATAATTTTATAAAATGTAAAAATCAAAAAATTCCGTTTATCTTTTTATGTATGACTTTATTATGGCAATTGCAAATCAAACATACAGTTGAAGGTGAAATATTTCAAATTTTGTATACAGACACAAACGATTTTTTTTCAAAATAAAAGAGACTATTAGCTCAATAAAAAGTGTCGAACGAAACGCCAAAGAACTATTTTTATTGGAACGTCCAAGCAAAAGAGAGAAAAAATAACGATAAAGATGCACAGTCATCGCCACCCCCTCGAAGAAATTTCCCACGCGCGACTGTCGCAGCACGCAACGCACTGAGGGGAGGTGGAGGTGACGCGGGCAAGAAAGAAAAAGCCCGCGAAAAGTCATGCTTGGCGATCAATCAGCTACGTAGAACGAGAGAGAAAAGCCGCTCCGCGAGAGCGCGCGTAGTAGCGTGTAGTAGTAAGCACGAAAGTATTGATCGGCCGAGAGAAAGAGCCAATGCCGTGACGGCTGCGCGCGCTTAGATTTTTTTTCTCCTCGTGGGTATATCAACATTTGCTCGTGTAATTGTTACAGTGCTGCCGGGATTCTCCCCCTCCCCCTCCCAAGCAGTCAACACACGGAGCTGACTTTGCCAAGTGGCTGGGCTCGCGAAAGTTTTTTCTTTTTTTCTCTTTTGGCAGAGTGCAACGAGGTAATTGCGCGACGGGGCGGGATTGTAAAACAAGTTTTGATCTATAATTTCTTTCAACCCAAAGTGAGAGCCAGGTTTTGTACGGATGGTGTGCTATTCCTGCGACACGAGTAAGCTTCGCTTCCGTGACTCGGATCCTTTCTCCTCAGAGATTTACGATATGCTTAGGAGGGAAAAAGAGGATTCGAACGATAAACACAATCCTATCTTACACTCGGATAAAAAATGAAAGTAGCATTAGTTCTTCGTCGGTGGAGTTTATAAATAGAAGTGCGCGCGTAATAATAGTCTCATCGTCATTTATTCTCCGACGAAAATAGCGAAACGTTACTAAAAACTGCATTGCAACGACGAGGGAAAGAAAATTCGCCTCTCGAGGCACTTGACGCCCTCTCGCTCCACTTTAGCATAATGCTGATGTACTTTGAAGATTTAAAGTTACTTAACGAAAATTTCCAAAGGAAAGAGGAAAATTAAATATTTTTCTTGCTCTCGACCAAATGGATATATTAAAAGCTCGCTCGTTCATTAATTAGCCAGAGCAAAAAGCAGCCGGAACGCGTTCGTGATTGCGATTCATGCTGACGCGCACTTTCCTGCCGGAAAAAGTTGAATGTCGAATTCGCTAGATTGATCGTAATAAAATCCTTAGCGCTCTCGCTTACGTTTCGTCGTTAACGGGCGTGGGCGGCTTACGCGTTTATTGCCATTTCGCGCGTTACGATTCTTGATGAATTTTACTTTCGTTCCTGAAAGCTCGACCCTTTGAATGACTCGAAGTAACGACGCTGTATTAAAAAATTGCAATAACTCGCGAGGGGAAAAAAATGATTTTATCGAGAAAAAGAGCGAAAATTGTTTTTTCTCCTCCGATATAAATATTTTCTCATTAAGAATACGCATTTCATTAAAAGTACCCAGTAAAATTAATTCCACTTCTTTTTCGACTTGTTTTCCGTTTCAATAAACATTTTCATAAAAGTTTTTTTATTAACCGGCCGTTATACCTGCAAAAATTTTTTATTAAAAATAGAAACTCGTTTTTTCTCTTTAATTCAGATCTTCGTTGGAAGTACGTCAGAAAATGCGGGAGAAACGTAGTGCGTTATTAAAGCAATCGACAATATGCGTATTTCGGGATGGCAAACGAGCCTTTAAAGAAACAAACTTATGACGTCATATAGTCCACAAAGATGCGATGAGATTCTTGTTCAAGTCTTATGCCATAAAATAATTTTCGTGATTTGAAAATGAATCGACGCATACAAGAGAGACCAAACGTGCCATGCCAAGCATGAATGAAACTTGCGATGTTACATATATTGTCTTGGCTCCGCGAAGGCTTCTTTCGTCGTCTGCTTACGCTTCGTCGTCTGTCGTTCCACGAAATATCTTACTTAATTAATTTGATTACTTGTACCCTGTCCATCTAATATGTTTGCGTATATAATGCGCATAAGATAGAGATAGACATTAATTCGCCTCGAAATCGATTATGTTTACTAGTGACAGCGCCCACAGTTTACCGAGGAGACCTTTTAAATTGAAATTGCATCAAACTATTACCATGAGGCAGCCTAAAAGAAGAAAATACTTCATTTGGCACGTCGGTTATAATAATTGTCACATCGCTACAGGTGTTTGATAATTCTGTTGGTTGACTAAGCCTACGGTGAGTCATCAGCTTTCATCAGCTGATTGTATTCATTAAAGCTATATTAATTGCGAATTGTATGACTTCAATAAAGAGAAAGATATCAAAGCGTTCGGTAGTGTTATTATTGTCATTTTCAAGAATGCAGTGAGAATTGATCACAGCATATATTTTAAAGTTTAATACATATATGCGCAATCCATGAACGAAACTTGATAACGAATTTATCGAATTATTCCAAATTTTCTGTAGCAGAGTCCATTACGATACAAAACAAACAAAAACAAACACATTTAATTTTCAATTGCCGAAGATGTTACAATACGCGAAACGTAATCAATAACAAATTAAATCAACCAAAAAAACTGTCAATCAGGTGACCTGCATTTCAATCAAAACAAAGCCTCTTGTCAACTGCGTATCTGACACCCTTCCAAAAATATCAATGTATGCGCGTGTACTATGTGGCCCGTATATTTTGACATTTGTCGGATGCGCGGAGCAGCCGACTCTTTGACTTTCTCTCGCGCGATGATATCATCGACGCACGCCCACTATTCAGGCCAAGATTTTTCGTCTCTTCCACTCCGTGGCATCACAACAAACACAACGAGAAGAACACAATTTCGTAAACGAGCAGACACTTGGAATAGGTCGGCTAAATGATAAGCGCAAATGACGATGTTATGGGTTTACTCACTTTGACCGACTTGTGCCTTAAGCGCCATTTTGAGTTCGCGAGCTCGCTACTGCTGCTCTGCTGTTCACTGTTAGCGACCGACTGGTTTCAGCTGCGCGCGCGCCACGGCTGCCTTGTTTCGCGTACCTTCTACTTGTTTTTTGTAAAGGTGTTTACACAGTGATTCTGATACATTTAAAGTGATGTCAATTCTGACCCGCGACTAGTGTGCACTGCACACAGTGTGGAGTTAGGAGTGTGAACTGTGGAGGCGTGGAGCTATCTCGGCAGCGATTATCTAGGGACATTTAAAGGGCGCGTATTTTGAAATGAACAAATCAATTACTATTAATAATAAATATAATATAGCTATTATTAATGGTTTTATAAATTAATTAAGTAGCTGATAGTACATTTAAATATCATAAATAAATGACTACACAGTAACTGTATTATATTTATGATGAATGGTAACTGATTGCTTTATTTGAAAATACGCGCTCTTTCAAAGTCCCTAGATCATTTATGCACAGATAACTCCACAGTGCAATCAAAACTAATGTCACTTTGAATGTGTCCAAAATCGTTCTATAAACACCCTAAGAGTGTATATGACTGGCACGCGCGCGCAGATTATAAGCTATGGTGCTGCCAATTGATGACGATGAGTCATTAGTGGGAAAGTTTGAATGCGTCATATCAAAGGAAGGATTTGTTAAAAGGTGATTTATGATTAATTTTTATACATGACTAGGAAATTTGTACACATACACACACACACCCAAATTTTGTGTGTCTATGTGTATAGTTAATCCTTTGATGAAATAGGTCACTTGACTAGAACATTAATTCTGCATCAACTTTGTGTTTTCATTGTGTATTACGTGTATACGACAGATTATATTATGTACAATCATCATTTCTTCTTGGTTATTAATCAAAATAGCAATGGTATTTTACACAACCATAAATTTTTGGTATTGATTGGATTTCCAGAAACATAGATAGTGTGCATAATATCTGATATTAAAGTCATCATTTTAACATTATGATAAAATCTGTGTGAACATCAACAGAAGATAGCTAAAGGGGATCATTACATTGGTCATTCAGTAGAACGTAATGTAAAATTTATTCTAAATTGTAAGTATTGTTGTAAGATTATATAGTCACCACAAGCTTGTGCCATTTTATTTATAATCAAATATTAAGCAGATCAGAAATCATAATTTATTTTTAAAGTATATATAGTTTAAGGAAACAAATTTAATGGAAAATAACGAATGTCATGAATATTAATTATTATTGCTTATCAAAAATTTTCAAAATATGAGGGTTCGTTTAAGTCATCTTCGTTGAGGAGTTTAGTCTGGAAAGTTCATCCGGAAAGCGATCGATATGGTTCCGCCGGCGTTTCAGCGCGTTGGCGTTTTATTTAATTCCGTCTTGATTAATGATGCAGGTGACTGACGGATATTTTTTTAGCCTGACTAGATTAACGTACTTTTATTTATAAAGAATTTTCAAAAGAAATTGCATTAAAGTAATGTTATACAAGCGGACGGAAGATATGAAATAACGAAAATAATTTGATTTAGGATTAGGAACGAAATGGGGACATTTTTTAATTAGCATAGTAGCGGAATATTTCCGTATTGAAGTATTTTTCTTTCTGTTTCAACAAGAATGAAATTTGTTATTGACGAAAGTAAAAAAAAATTTATTAACTGGACACCCACATGGTTTATGTTTATTTGTCTGTAGGCTATAAAATTGTTCATTAAACAGTATTAATTACTCAAGTTGTTAACTATTACAGGAAAAGTAAAACTGCAATCTTAATTATATACTAAGCGTTAACACACTTCACCTTACTCTACCACACCCCGAACCAATCTCCAATCAAATCCTCTATCTCACTTTTCCTGCAAAAATGCAACGGATTCCTTCATATAAATACTTTTTACTTTCGAATCAGTGGGATCGATGTGAAGCTGCCAGCTGACCGCGCTATGTTATATCCTACCTTATCGGCCGGACTGGGCTCGCATCACATGGGAGAGCGTGGTGGCAGCGATATCGTAAGCAGCGACCAGCAGCCGTCAGTTTGAATCCGGACGCCGGTTCGTTCGCATCTCTTGCGGTAAAACTATTATCGCGCCAAGTTTTTGTTTGAGGTCGTGCGCGCGACTTTATATCCCACATCCAGTGAGTGCAAGTTTCCTGACGATGCTTTGACATCAACTGCGATTGTGTTCTTTTATTCGACAAGTGACACAGAAGAATTTTTAGTTTTTTGTGTCATATTATAAGTGTGAGATTGTATATTGTGCGTGAAATTTCATTGTTTTTTTCCCTTGCCGGAGGCTGTGCTGTTGCTGTCGGCAACATGAAGATCCCAAACTATCCGTGTCGTGTAGAAGGCTGGCTAAATGTTTGTGGTGAGTGTTTGTTATTTTAAGACAGCGCTACATAACACGTATGCTTGCGTTCGAACGCGTAAGATTTGAACAAATTGACAAGCATGACTAGAAATGCTTGGTTATTTTTACGAGTGCCAACGTTTATCGCAAAAGCACCTTACTTTGAAACTGCAACGAGAATACAAAGTCAACTCAATAATCGTCCAATAGTCGTTAATCTTCAAATTGACGATGTAAAAATATTGTTTGCTAGAGATTTCGATTTCACTTATAATTTTGTGCTAGGGACATAAAAAGATTTTATTTAACATGTATAATATTAATTTTTTTCTAAAGTAAAATATCAGTTATAAAATCTATTATATGTCATTAAATATTACTTAATTCGGTAACATCGACGATATTTCACACGCAGTTGTTATAAAATATACACCAGATTTATAAATGTTTATGGTTACCTTTTTATCAGAAGTAAAAGTTTTGTAAATTGAAAATTTGGTCAATTCCGAAAGGGTTACAATGGTCAAAATATATTTCGCAATATTGTGCTGCAGTTTTTAATTATAAGACTTTTACGATGTATACATTGATACTATTGAAAGTAATGATGCATTTTTAGCGACGCTTGTCAATCCTGCGAATCGTACGCTTTCGAACGTAATCGTATATGCTTATGTAGCGCTACCCTTATGAATAAGTTTGGAGACGTTTTAGTTGAAAGCATCAATTTTAAAGTTTCGAGAATACTTCGATTATTTTTTTGTCTAATTTAGTTTTTGTTTGTTATAGGCTGAGGAATTCGACTTTGAAATTTAACAAATTTAACAAACGTTTTACCGGTTCTTTCACGCTGTGTTGTTGTTTTATCTTTCGTTTTTACTCCATGTTGAGAATAACAAATAACGACGCACAAAAGTGGTCGTGTGAAAGAATTTTCTGCGAAATCGTCTCTATAGATAGTTTATCGAAGTGATCGTATAGATAGCGGTGAAATACTTGAGAACCAGTCACAAATATGAATAGAACCTATCACGTATTGCCAATGCACACCGCACTTTTTATTTTATAAAAAAGTGTTTGTTTGCGCCAAAAAGCATGTATGTCGCGCGTTATTTGCACTTCCAACGTAGGTTTCCGCAGAAAGTATTTGGCGCCGGTGTCGCGTTTCTCGGAAATTTAAAGGAATACGTAAATCTGTCGTAAATCAAATATCTATTTTGGAGAAGAATGTAATAGTGAGAGAAAGAGAGAGGAGTGAACACATACAATTGATATGAAATCCATAATTTTTACGACAATTTTATATACGTGCACGGATGTACTTGTTAGCTTGGATTTTCGTTGCACTGCATGTCGGTGCATTGAACTGTTGTGTTGACAAAGCGAATATCTTGCTCGCGCGGTGTGACCGAAATACATTCTCACTAAAATAAAATCTTCGTCCTGACTAATATATATGTATATAGGAAAGTTTCATTAGACTTTGTTACTTGAATTTGAACAACTCCTTTAAAGCTAAATTTTTTGCGTGAATACATCATGTGAAAGCGTTATAATGAAGTCAACGACGAGAGGAATATAACGATACCACGAACTGCTTGACCTTTCGACAGACATTCATCATCCGCTCGCGTATATACTCATTAGAGGAAACCCGTCTCATTAATTAAACTCTCATCATACTACACGTGTAAAAATTCCTCTCCCTTGCGAACAATCGCCTATTCATAATCTATAAATATACGAAAACCATCAAATACCCACTGTCCCGGATGTCTAGAAATGTATATTATAGATTTGGCGAAGAGAAGAGCGCACGCGATATTACAAAGTGCGGCACGTGCCGCTATGCAGTATCACGCGGGTCATTGCGGATTATATCGGCAAAAAGGAGAGCAACGAACTACGATGGTGGAGGGAGAAGTGGAAAATGATCGACGGCTTTCTCCCTGTGGGGTTCGCCGGCAAAAATTTTTCTCCTTTCCCTTGCCAACTTTTCCTCGCGTGTGACGTTTGGCGATTTGCGTGCAGTTCTAATATGATGATGCAACTTTATTTGCTTTTGTAATGGGAAATGTTTCTCAGTCGCGAATCGTAAGCTGAACCCATAGTCGGTGAGAAAAGTAGAATTATTGCGCACTAAATTTATCGTAGGCCGAAAGAAAAATACTTGGAAATTACGAAACTAATTATTTTCAAGTCATGTCGCTATTGAATTTACGATCGATAACATCCCAACCGATTTCGTCGGTACGCTAACATTCCAATACGCTGCTGCGAAATTTCGATCGAACGCTAAGTAAATTCGTTGAGTCATTAAAACTACTGTTCGTTGAATTCCACGTCGCATTATGGATTATCGATTGTAAAAACAAAAAGAAAAAACGCACGTCTATAACGTTCTTCCACGTCTCTTATATACGGAAATCCATTTCTCAACCGTCCATCACCGGAAACTAGAGCAGTCACGAAATTCCTCCGATAATGATAACCAAAAAGAAGAGAGCTACCATTGAAAAACAAAAACGGATGGCCTTGTTTCCTTTGTTATCGTGCGTCAGCTGACCTTTTCCCGTGCGAAGGGGGTGGCAAAACTTTCGTGCACCTGCTGCTCTGGTCGCGTGCCGTTACAATAGACACACTCCCCGTACGACTTGGCGACAGCTGGGCGTGAAGGGGAATACATTCTCTTTTATTATTTTTTTTTTTTTTTTTTTCTGC